AGAGCTCTTATCTGAATTGATCAGACATTTGCCTCTGAATAGTTAAGCAATATACTAGCTCTTAATGGTTCAGACCTCTTACTGGTTCAGCACTTAATGGTTCAGACCTCTTACTGGTTCAACACTTAACTATTCAGAAGTTACCAAACTGCCTCTTACTGGTTCAGCACTTAATGGTTCAGACCTCTTAAAAAACCAATTGAAATCAGGACCTTTCATTCCAATCAACAGCCCAATTTCAATTAAACACTATTAATACATGATCTTAGCCATTGATTTAGGTTGAGAGGTTAGACCGCGAAACACATATTTGCGGCGATTCCTACGTTCCCATCTTCTCAAACTGCCACCACCACTTTCATCCCATCTTCCGGAAACTGCCATCCCACCGATTCTTCCCATAAACTCCCAATTCCGATATACTACCTCCGTCTCACTCTTTTTGTCCACTTTTGACTTTTGGAACTATTGATCTAAGCACTTTGACTCATCAAATTCTCTCAATGTGTAAGCCTAAATATAGTCATGTGTGATCTTGTTTGATTTGTCTTAACATATAGATTATTAATATATAATTTCTATAATTTTTTAATATACAAATTACAAGATAAAATGGATTAAAGAAGTGCATTGGATGATGTGCCAAAAAGTAAGTGGACAAAGAGAGTGGGACGGAGGGAGTATATATATATATATATATATATATATATATATATATATATATATATATATATATATATATATATATATATATTAATGTTATATTTTGTTCCTTAAATAATACTCCCTCCGTCCCCCATAGATCTTCCCAATAGCTCTTTTTCTTTGTCCACAATAGATCTTCTCATTTCATTTTTTAACAATTAAAATACCACAACTACCCCCACTTACTTTATTTATTATATCTCACCCACCTCATTTAATACACTCCACCCATTTTCATTAAGGGTATTACGGTAATTTTTCACCTTTTTTCAACTCTCCTTAAAAACCACCAAAAGTCAAAATGAGAACATCTTAGGGGGACGGAGGGAGTATTTGACAAACTTTATAATCATATATTTAAAATCTCCAAATATATTTATTTCATTTTAATGCCATAATCATAATAAAAACAATAATACAATTTATTATATATATAAATATATATTAATTATATTTGACAAACTTCAAAATATCCAAATATATACTCCCTCCGTCCCGGAGTATTCGTCCAGTTTTTGACTTCTGGAACTGTTCATCTAAGCACTTTGACTCATCAAATTCTGTCAATGTGTAAGCCTAAATATAGTCATGTGTGATCTTGTTTGATTTGTCATAACATATAGATTATTAATATAAAATTTCTATAATTTTTTAATATATAAATTACAAGATAAAATGGATTAAAGAAGTGCATTGGATGGTGTGTAAAAATGAAAGTAGACAAATACTCTAGGACGGAGGTAGTAATTTATATACATGTATGCATACATATTTTCACACAATATTAAAATACATGATATATAAATATCTTGTTACTCCATTTCAATATTCTACAATTTCATATATTCTATGTGTGTGTCCCTATTCTAAGTACCTATAACATTATCAATAATATTGATTATATACTACAAGTGATAAGCGCTATCTAGGAACACATTGTCACCCCAAGTTATAGATATGAAGCTCTCGAAACAATTTTTATAACGACACATCTTATTTGTACAACTCTTATCCCTTTATCAGTAATATCTTGATTTACTACAAGGTTTGGGTCTATGTGATTTATTACCTTCTTAGAGTTAAATCGATGGCTTACCGATTCATTTATTAACTTGTGGGAATCAAATAACATATTTATTTGGGTCTCACCATGCACTTGAATTCCAAAGTCACATCAATCACTGGACTGTTATATATTATACTTCACTAAGAAAGAGATAAATTCTATCTACGTTACTCACATCTCTGCTTAATTTTCATTGAATATCTAAAACATAATTGTACGTCCACTAATATTTCACATTGCACTAAGTATGTATCAGAGTATGCTACTCAACTTACCAAAGATCGTAATGAATTCAAATCAAAGGATAGTTGTACTAATGTTCGCATGAAAATAATACTAACACATTAACATAATATCTATATATTTTTTCATAGAGGGCCAACCGAGCAATATATGTAATATGTTTTCCTATATATAGATTCTAATGCCACTTTATCTATAGCCTATGAGATGCAGCTATCTTATCTTGGTATTAGTCTTAATATATTATGACGTTTGTATTATCATAATATTCGACTAAGGATATTTTAGATGTAGCCTCTATCTTTGTAACAGCCTGTTTAGGGACTATTGTTCTTTACATAATATAGATATGAAATCATAAGTTAGGGCTCACTTAGATCCAACTGCTCTAGAACTCAAACACACACTCATTATCGTCTTCAATTATCAGATACTGGAGGTGTATATACTAGTACTTAGAATTTGCAACGACTTCAATTTTGTCTTCATCGTAATCATTAGATTAAGTTACATAGTGGAATTTTTCTCATATGTAGTTCGAACACGCATTGATGGCAATTAGTTCACTAGCCACCTCGTCAGACTGAGACACACGGTGGACCAAGACTTTCTCATCGGCCAACTGCGCATGTACGGTGGGCGACTGAATGGAATCTATGATTATCACCTTCAATACGGCATGGATATATTTTCTTTCTCACCCTGGATTCTAAGATACATGGAGAGAGAAGGTCCAGATCTAGGGTTAAAAAACAAAGAAGATAAAGTGAGAGAAAGTGCAGATCTTATAAATGTGTACATTGAGCAAATCTAGGGGTGTGAAGAACAAGATAAGGGAGGGGTGGACCAAATTAAGAGTATGAAGCAGATATCTTTTAATTCGAGGTGGTTCGGGGTATAGTTAGAAAGGTATATGAGGGGTAAAATTGTTTTTGTGGTAGTTTTAAACTTACCAAAAATGGAAAGTGGTTGAATATAGTAGGACTGTCCAAAAAAGAAAAGTGGACAGAAAGAGTGAGACAAAGGGAGTATATGATATGAAGCTGGAATTAAAAGCTTATGAAGAAACTGACAGAGTATTTCCTACTCTTTTGCCTAAGATTTTCTCTCTCCCTATCTCAAAGTTCTTTTCTAGAGGTACATATCGCGCTCATATAGAAGTCAGAATTTTTAATAGCAACATGTGCAATGGACATGCAAAAAATAGTGTATCAATAATCTTAAATCTTTAAAACTAAGATCTTGTTCAATTTCATGTTTTTGGTACAATGGAAAAGAAGAAACAAAGATAACTTAGTATCTTGCAAGAGTGACTTCGTAGTCCATCTAGAGAACAGGCTTAATCCTTATGGTGGTGCTTTGAGAACCTTGAGTGTGTCGACACTTGTTACATTCGATATCCATTTTAGCCAGCCTATCAATGTAAAATTTTCCCCTCCAAGAGTGTATGGGGATGGTGAATCTCCAACACTTGCTCTATTGGGTCCCGGCAAACAAGAATATGAGTGTAGAGGCAATTGAAAATAGGCTCCAACACAAGTCGTATTGCCTCCTCATAGTGACATTCAATTAAGACTTATCTCAAGCCATTGTCCCCGGCAAGTAGGAAGCCATGGCACTGGATGGCCGCCACTTTCCTTTAAAGCCAACAAGGTATTCCCTAAAAGGCTAAAATCTTCCAAGCCATCTTCCTTGGTCATCTTGAACCAAACCTCTAAATCCAACATGTCTAAGGTTGCTAAATGTGCTACCAACCACATTGAGCTTCACCGAATCAGCTTGGGGCCTAACCCAATGAACTAGAATTGGTTCCACTATATTGGTCTCTTATATGTAAATTCCAAGGTCTTCCCCATCTCATCAGCTAAGAATTTTTATGCGCTTTATAGCCCATTATTACTCTTGGGTCATTATTACATCAAGGTTTCAAGTTCACCACAATCACGAAAAGATGGCATACAAGGTAGTCATTTTTGTTTGAGTGAAAGCTAAGAATCTAAGAAGTTGCATCCATGAAGGTAATGAAGCTCGGTGGTAGCAAGAATTTCTCTCAAATAACTGGAGACCGCGGACAGTTTTTCATATTGTGGATGGTGATTGTCTCATTTTCCACCAAACAATATCTAGTACCCTCCAAGTTGCTATTTAATATCGTGTCACGTTGACTGACTATGATTTATTTGTGTAGAAAGCCACTATAGAGAAATTGGCAATTTGATGTTGTAGAGAGCTTCCAAATGTACTCCCAAGAGATGTGATTCATGGTATGGATAGGTTTTGTTGAATGTAGACTTGATTGGATAGATGTGCTTAGCAACTATGTAGACTCCAAACAATAATGTCCAAGGCCCTCGAATGGAGGTGTGGGACAATGTTGTTTAAGACATCTCAAACATGATTGGATAGATATGTTGAGACAGTTGAGGTGCCAGTGCCATCTCCCATCCTGACATTTGAAATCCTAGGGAAAGAGTTAAAGATGTTAAGAGATGGCATCTAATAATGTGGAGGAATGGCTTCATTCACTTTAATGGAAACCAAAGGGTAGCAAGTTATAATTACAATATATATGATTAACTTTCTCCATCACAGCATCATGAGGTGAAACCTACGAGGATGAAGTATAAACTTACAACTGGGGAGAGCGCAAAACTTCTAGTCCATGTCAATAACATTGGTAGTGTGAAGGCAACAAGTGTTGATTTCTTAGAATTCTTAAACAAAATAAAATTCTCCGTATACAACAATGAAGTCAAGATTGAAAGAATCAATGTTTGAAGTTGCCTGGGAGAAACTTCAAAACCAATAGCACCGTCAATACGTATCAAATCATCCATATTCCTCCCTCCGTCCCTCTATATTTGTCCACTTTCATTTTTGCACACCATCCAATGCACTTTTTTAATCCATTTTATCTTGTAATTTGTATATTAAAAAATTATAAAAATTATATATTAATAATCTATATGTTAAGACGAATCAAACAAGATCACACATGACTATATTTAGACTTACACATTGAGAAAATTTGATGAGTCAAAGTGCTTAGATGAACAGTTCCAAAAGTCAAATGTGGACAAATATAGGGGGACGGAGGGAGTATGCATTTTACATTCCAACACATTTGTGAGTCTGAGAACCAGTCCTACACATCAAGCCATGCCACTCGTTTACCCAAAATGTATCCCAAATAATTCCTATGCAAATTTCACCTTTCATATGTTCTCGCGCTCTCACTCTTGTCACAGCAGGCTAGTGCTCCCGAATGGGTTGGCATTCTGTTGGTGAGCGGCTTGACTTGTGGAAGGGAACCCACCAAACCCAGCATCACCGAACGGATTATGTTGCCCGCCCATCAGTACATTTTGAGGTGGTTGGATGCCCTGTGGGTACACCGCTGGTTGGAAAGGACCACCAAAAGGATTTGGCATTGCACCCGCTGTTGGAACTACAGATGGAGGGGCAGCCATGGTGGTGTTAGACATAGCAAACGGATCAGCTACTTCAAATGGGTTGGGAGCAGGAGCTCCATACACAGGTTGCTGTGATGCTCTGAAAGCCCCCTCATCATACAAACTATTTAGGGTGAGTGAATCCAAACCACCAGCCTGCCCAGATATCAAACAGTGAGAAAAACATATCATGTCCTGGTCTATATGCTGAGGCTGTAATATAAATAGAACAGAAGACGCCATTGGAACATTTGACAGCGCTTTTTACCAGTTGCCTCTCCTGAGCAGTGGACAAGTTGCTGCTGGGAGCAGTGACTAAGGTAAGTTCCCATCCTGTAGGATCAAAATCTTTAGGATGTGCTGCTTCCAAGTCAAAAGGGGATGTTCCTACATACATAGAATCTTCTTAAAATGATCAATAGCTCCTATAGTCTTTTTATGCAATGCTATTGACGATGAGAATTATGAAAAAATACCAGATGGAACTATGGCCAAAGCCAAAGCATTACTTTCTTCAATCGCAGATACATCTGTTGCGGGGGTATTCAATCCCTAAAGCAGTCCACCAATATATGATGAATAAAAAGAATACTATGAAAAGCATGAATGCAGTGATCAAATACATAAGAAGACTTAAAGAGACATTTATATGCATGCGCACACACATCAATGAGAGAAACAGAAAACTAACAAGTAGATCATCAGTTTCATTTCCACGAGGAAGAGGCACAGAGGCAGGAGTTTCAGTGATCAAAACTGCAACACCCTCAGCTAGCGGGGGGCCGGTTGGAAGTTCATCAGCCAATTCTTTGTGTTCTTCAGAGGGTGACGGCTCATCTTCTTGTTTATATGCCAGCATAAGTCTCTCCGGGTTTTCCTGTGTTATCAGAACAAATTGTTCATCATTTGTTTCATGAACTTTTTCCATCATCTCCGATGGAGCCAAAATTTCACTATTTTTTGGCTTTGGGTGTGATGGAATAAATCAAAATGGATCTCTAAACTATTTGCGCTTCTTTAATTAATGAAGTAGCAGTTAGTCAAGCAATGCAACTTTCGACGTTGAGCCGGGGGTCTCTTTGGAAACAGCCTCTCTACTTTCGAGTAGGGGCAAGGTCTGCGTACACACACCCTCCCTAGACCCTACTCTTGTGGGATTTAACATGGTTGTTGTTGTTGTTGTTGTTGTTGTTGTTGGTTTCATGAACTGCTATATATTTTAATGAAGATTACAATAATGTATGATTAATCTAAGACAACATCCAATCAGCTAAATATAGTAAGTTCACTACATAATACCGTTGTGTCTCTGGGAACCGATACTATCCGTGGAGCTTCCCTTATATACTCTTCCATTGTCACTAGGAACGACTGTGGAGGCTACGAAAGA